TCAAATCAATATGCTGAAGAAGATAGAATGTTATATTTCTGGTCTACTATAGTCAATTTACATAGAGCTGACTTAAAAAATAAATGGTCTTATTCTTTGCAACAAACTGAAGTACGAGCATGTATACCTGTCATCGTTCTCAAGAATGAAAGTAAAGTATGCTGTTCAGGTAAGTTAATTTAAAATTAATCATCTTCAGCTAAAAGTGGAATTACTGGGTGGCAATGAGAAGTCGCCAGAATTCCACCTGAAATTATAGACTTTGCTACTTATTTGTACGTAACTAAAACTGTTAAACTGTTAACTGTTATTTATACATCACACAGGTCCTGAGCACACGTGTTGCGAATGCAGTTGAAGCATTCTATGGAAATGGTCATCAGGCTACAGTTACATTCATTAGAAATTTTGATAAATTCTTTGACTGCCTTAATGTAAGAAGTATGGAGGAAGGGAAACGCAAGAAGAAGACAAATTTGTTGCCATACAGATCTACTGAAGATGAAAGATTAAAGGTTTGTCTTATTTGCAGTTCATCTGAAAATTAATACCTTTTTAGTGGTGATCATAAAATGTTATTCCTTAAATAGTAAAGCAACTGTTTTACTGAGAACATCAAATTTCAAAAAGCTATTCGGATCAAATTTAGTCATAATTGCAACAAACAGTGATACATGTACTATATAACTATGTATTCTACATTATTTAACATGGTAGAAATGAAAGTGTATGTGCTTCGAATAGACAAAATATTGTATTTTTAAATTGTTCAGTGGCTGAACAATGATTTTCTTCAGTATCTTGATGATTGGGATCGGGCAGTTGATGGCAGACATGAATTGTCAAAGCGGGATCGTAATCGCATGAAACTAAGCCGAGAGACACTGAAGGGTATCAGATTAACATGTATTGTTCATTTACAAACTATATTCATTTTTGATGAGAAAATTGGGTTTTTTAAAACTTGTCCAATAGTGTTATGTAAAATGGCAGCCATTTTGTGCAAATATGGGTCAAATTTGAGAAACAAGGTTATACATAGAATACAATTTTATTTCATTTCTTCTCCCGATCAATGATCTCACTTACAATTCTTTGAGAATCACACAAATCTAATGGAAAAAAAAAAGAATTTTATTTTTTTCCTGCCCTCCTCAAAAAAAATTGCCTTATAAAAACCCGAGAAACAAGGAATAAAATAAGTCTGGCCTAAATCATACAAAGTGCATTTGATTCTTATATTATTAGGTAGATCAAAACATAATGATTAATAAATGAGAAAAATGGAAAGGAGGTGGTGGCTATGAAATCTGACTTTAATAAACACAATACATTTTTTTGAATAGTTGCATCATTTGTGGCAGTGACAAAGTATCTGCTGGGCCAGCCTGGGATTGAGCGCATCCTCTCAGAAAAGTTTAACCAAGATCCTTTTGAAGCATACTTTGGTAATCATCGCCAGATGAAGGGAGGCAACGAAGCACCGAATGTTCCGCAATTTTGTTGCAATGCAAATGCGCTGCAACTGAAGTCATTAAATTTGCTGAGGATCAGTGGATCAAATGTAAAAATCCAAGCAAAAGTACAGATTGACAACACACCTTTACCTCGTCGCCATCACAAAACCACTTGATGTTGCAGTGTCAGTGAAACCATAGTTTAATAAGTTTTTTATTGCTCAACACATGCAAGTAATTATACTTCGTAATTGTAAATAATTGTAAAGACAGTGTGAACAGTAAATGATGCATCATGAATCCAGTTTCTGAATGAAAGGTGATGAATGGCGATTTGTGAATAGTCTTAATCAGCCAGCAAATTCACTGAATGATTGGCTGGTCAGGAGTGTTTAGATTTGCTCCGTAAGACTACCACATTTGCTCTATTTTGCCTGGTTAGCATAAAATCAGTACTAAAGTGTACAATGTTCAAAGTGGGGGGGGTTAAACTTTATCCGACCATACAAATTACACATGACATGCTATTTAACATTTTATTTAAACAAACTTATTCACAACTCGACAGTCTTGTAAGAAACTCCAACCCTTTCCTGCCATCTGAGGTCAAATTAGGGTTAGGTCTGAGAAACAGGTGACAGATTTTCAATCAGCTGACAGTCTATGAAATCTGTTCTTTTTGTTGTTTGCGTTCTTTTAGCTCATTGCGGATGCCCTTACTGTCTCTACTTGACTTTGCTTCTCTCATTTTG